CTCCTGGGCTGGGCTCAAGCAATCCTCCCACTTCAGCCTCCTGAGTATCTGGGACTACAGGTGGGTCCCATCACACCTGGCTTAGTGGTGCAGATATATTTATAACTGTTGTGATATTAGTATAGCTATCCGTGTTCTTTTTCTGGTTACTATTTGCATGGAATATCTATTTCTATCCTTTTACCTGCAACCTATGTGTGTCCTTAAGTCTAAAGTAAGTCTCCTGTAGAGAGCACAGAGCTGGATCCTGTTCATGTCTTTTGGGGAGTTTACTCTACTTACTTTTAGTCTCTCTGTACGTCTCACGGCTTTGGCTATGTGAAAGCAGTGGGGGTACCACTGCCAGACAGTTCCACCCTATTCTTGGTGAAGCTTTCAGCCTTTATTTTAGCTGTTCTAATAGGTGTGTAGTGTTACCTCATTTCCCTAAGGCTAGTATTGCTGCAGTTTTTCATGTGCTTATTTTGCCATCCGTATGTCCTGTCGCTTGAAATGTCTCCACGCATTTTGGCCATCTTCTAGTTAGATTTTCCTTAAGTGTCTATTGGTGGTAAAGACAGTTCCAGTCAGAGTAATGCTGAGAATTTATCTCATCTTTAATAACAGTTTAACTCGGCATAAAAATCTAACTTGACTCTTATTTTCTCTTAAGGCTCTCAAGACTTAGTCCACTGTCTCGTTATCAGTTGCCTACCCGTTCTTCCTTGAAAGATCATCTCTTTTTCATCTTTGGTGGCTTTTAGAACCTGTTGGTTTTTTCTGCAAAATTCCATTCTGATGGGTCTTAGGACCCCTTAGAGTCGGGAAGCATGGGGTGTCCCAAATATAATGAATAAATCCATCCTGTCTCTCAAATATCTCTATTTTTTTGTTTTGGAATTGGTTAGATATGTTGGGCCCTCTCATTCCACCTCCCTCTGTCATATTTTTCAATTCACTAATTTTCTCTTCTGTTAAATCTGTTAACTTTTAAATTTCTGTGAGTAGTTCTCATTTCTAAAAACTTTTTTTTGGCATTATGTTGATCATTTTTAATTTCTTCTTGTATGTCTCATCTCAGGCAGCCACTAACTCAGGCATCTGAAGTCCACTGCTGCGGCCACGGGGATCATAGGCAGCACTGGCTGAAGGTCTGCCCCGGGGCTTTCCAGACACCGTGGGTGGGGTACATGCAAATCCCCAATGGCAGGCCTGTGGTTGGACGTTTTCAGGAGGTGACATTACAGGGGACTCTAGACGCTGGGCTTCCAGGGAATGACGGGTGTATGGGCCTCTCTTTCTCGAAGAACACCTTTGCATAGGACTTCATTTTGACTCTTAGCTCTTGGAGGGAAGACACTCAGCTGTCATACAGGGAGCTAAGAGAAAGGGACTGGTTTTCCCTCCTGAATGGGGAAGACAGAGGCCAAGTGCACAGGGCCAGGGAGCCTGCGGCCCGGGCAGCTCACCACACGGGGAAGCGGGTCCAGTGCACAGGTGGGTGGTGGCTGCAGCTGTCCTGGACACACAGGCTGAGGAAGGGCTTGGGGTCCACCCGGAATCAGGACCACCCGAGTCACTGCCCCTGCACGCCTCGTGGGAATGGCTCAAGGGAAGGGCGTAGGCTAGGGCATGACAAACGCCTCCTTCTGCCCCAGGTCCCTCTGCTGAGTGGCCTCCCGCAGGGGCCCAGCCTCACACTTGCCACCCGGGAGCAGTTTCCCAGGCTGGAGCAGGGTCCTGGAAAAGGGCCCGGCATGCGCGCTGAGTCTTCTCCTTGGCCCTGCAGTCACCACCGACCTGGTGGGGCAGACACAGGACTCGGGCTCCCCCAGGTGCCTCAGCGGGACACCCCACCACCCTGGCCCTAAGGAGAGTTCTCTGCAAAGCCAGAGGGCCGCCGCTTCTCCCAGGACTCAGGTCCTGTGCTGCTCCGGCCCATGGCCGGCCCACGTGGCCTGGTGTCCAGAGCCCCAGCCCCAACCACAGAGCCCTGAGATGCAGGACGGACAAAGGGCGGGGGTCCTGGCTCACCTGTCAGCCGGAGCTCCTCTAGGCCGCCAGCCACATTTCCCCCATCTGCCCCAGCCTGCGTCACACAGAGGAACTGCAGAATCCCAGCCCCTGTCCTTGGCCGAGGGGACAGCCATCTCCCCCCAGAGCCCCCCAGGGAGGAGGGGGCAGAAGGCCATGGGGACAGGGAATTCACTGCGCCTCCGTCAGGTCACGTGGAAACAGGGATGGTAGCCGTGAGGACTGGGACTTGCAGAATGCACGTGTTACAATGCGAGAAATGAGGCCACTCTGCCTTCACAGGTACTGCCAGCCCTGGAGCTGGGACTGTCCCCAAGTAGGGGGAGAGAGGGCCTTTGGGCTTCTGCCCCATTCTGAGGCATCCAGGCTGTTCTCCTCTTGCCTGCATCGGTTGTGAGGTCCCCGAGGAGCCCCTGGGCCTCCCACCCTCGGCCCTGGAAGCTGACCTCAATCTGCCCCAAAGACGCCCTCCTGGGGCCCAGACCCACCATAGTGCCAGAGGCCCAGGGTCAGGCTGCAGCGGCCGGCTCACACGTCCCAGGAGACAGAGACCCCATCCTCACTGGCCAGCTCGATCCTGGGGCCACCTCTCCTCGTCTTGGCAGGAGGCAGACTGCGGTCCAGGCAGCTGTCCCCAGGCAGGGAGGAGTGGTCCAGCCTGTAGGTCTTGGGGCCAGACGGGGCTGAGCAGGTCTGCCCCACTAGCCGGGCAGCAGGCTTGAAAGTGCCAGTTCCTTAGGCCACTGGTCTGGTGGACACAGGTCTCAAGGGGACATGCTTACCTTCAGGCTGGGGTAGAGGACAAGGGTCACGCCGTCCAGCACCACTGACAAGGCCCCGAGCCTGCCCGGCTCAGCGTCGTTGTGAGCAGAGTCCTTGGCCAGCAGGAGGCTGCCGCACTGGGCATGGAGGCCCCACACCCGACCACCAAAGGTCACCACGTACGTGCTGGGCCCCAGCCACCACGGCGCAGTCTGGGAGGAGGGGGCCCAAAGGCCGGGTGAGTGGGGCTCACTGCAGTGGGGCCCAATGCCTGGGGGGGCAGCCCAAGCAGGGACATGGGCCCTGTCCTGCAGCCAGGGAGCCCATCATGGGTTCCAGACGACTTGAACTCCAGGGCTCCCCGAGATGAGGGCCTACAGCCAACTCAGCAGTAAAAAGGGACAAAGTACTGAAGCTGCTCCATCATGGGCGCATCTTGGAAACTTAATGCAAGTAAAAAAGCTGCCACTAAAGGTCACCTATGATTCTGTTTATATGAAGTGTCCGGCGCAGGCGAATCCAGAGACAGATGGGTGGTTGCCAGGGTGGGGGCAGGGGCGGCATGGTTTCTTTTTGGGGTGATGAAAATGTCCTAACATTGGTGAGCCACCATCACCACCATCAAATTGTACACTTATGTATGTATCAATTGTATCTCAGTGAAGCTGTTTGTGGGGTAAAAAAACTGCCCAAAGACTCCAAACACGAGGTCGGTGCCCCATGGACCTAGCCCCCTGCAAAGGGGAAAAAAGATAGCCCAAGCAGGGCCAGTCCAACCTGTGCATGGCCAGGCACTGGCATCCTCAGGAGGGATGGTCAGGGAGTGGTCAGAGCTGAAGGTCACACACAGACCTTGAGGAGCAGGCTGTCTTCTACAGTGTCGATGTGCTGCCTGGACTCTAGGGAGGTGCCTGCCTGCCCCAAGCCTTGTCGTGGGGCCCACTCCCCTGCATCGAGGGCTTGAGCTCAGACAGCACGCGCTTGTCACCTAGAGGAGCAAGCCATGTTGTCACTTGCATCTCACAATGAAGGAAACTGAGGCCCAGGGAAGTTAGCAGCCTCACCTGGTCACACAGCAAGCACAAGTGGGACACAAATGCCCCAGAGCCATTCATGGTCCCAGCACTGCCCCTGGCTGCAGGCCCTGATGAGTGAGTCTGGACTCAACTCGTGGTCTTCCGGCTACAACCGGAGGTCTGCTCCCACAGGGCCAGGGGCAGGGAGCTGGCCTGGAGCCCCGAACTGCTCGCCACGCCCCTCTGCGGGCCCAGGGCCCCAGGCTTAGATCTTACAGCATTCTGGACAAAAAGCAGGACCTGGAGGCCCGTCTCTCGTCCCAAGGACCTTAGGAAGTCCAGTCATCTCAGGGCCCTGCACTGTGCCCCGCAGGGAGGACTCGCACTCTGAGGGGCTCTCCAACAGGCGGAGCCGGCAGTACTTGGCCCTGGTCGGCTCCTGGAGCCGCAGCTTCTCCCCTACCAGGTACCTGGGCACTGGGCCAGGCCCAGGTGCTCGTCCCTGCAGGCAGCAGCGCCACCACCACGGAGCAGTTCCTGGAGGGACACAGAGGGCAAGTCGCTGTGCCCGTGGGAGTCTTGTTCCCTGAGCTGCCGAGTGGCAGTTCTGGGGTCCGAAGCAAAACCACTTTGGGCATCACAGGGAGCACCGGAGCAGGGGCTGCGTGTGCGGAGATAGTATAGTGAGAGGATGAGGACAGAGGCTGGGGGTCTGGGCTCCTGGGCCCCAGCCCCAGGGCCTTGGGCCAGCGTGGGGTGGGGCCTGTGTGTAAGGCGCCAAGGGCGGCGAGGCCAGCATCGGCCACGGGGCTGAGTGTGCAGAACCAGGGCGCAAGCTGACCGGCGGGGGCCGAACGAGCAGGGAGACCCCAGCTCTCTGCAGAGGGGCCATGGGAAGAGGAAGCTTCCCACTCTCGTGCTGGGGGAGGCGACACAGGAGCGCATCTACCTTCTAGGAAGACCAGGCAGCCTGGGAGCCCTCCCTGCTGCTGGAAAACCTTTACAGCACCTCCCCCACTGGTGAGCGGAGCCCACCCGCTCGCCAGGGAGCCCCTTCCGTTTTCAAGCAGCCCTGGCTGGGAAATCGCTCCACCCGGGCCGAAGCCCACCTCGGGTGTGGTTCTTCCCTTCTTCGGCTCATGTGCTAACCGCAAGAGTACAAGGGCCGCAGTGCAGGACTTTTACACGGTGTCTCTTACCTGTGAGCTGGGTAAACTGAGGCACAGGGAGCCAATCCAGGGTGGCCTTAGTTAGAGGCAGAGCTGGATCCCCTGCCAAACCGAAAACGTTTACGATCAGACCGCTGTTGGAAGGCTTGCCAACCCAGTGTGGCTGGCTGACGCCTGTCCCATCCCCCACCCCAGCGAAACATGAGCTTCATGGGGCAGAGCTCTGTCTCTTCACTGCTCTCTGCGGCTCCTGAACAGGGCCTGCATGGACAATGAGCCTCGGTTTCCTCATCTGTAAAATGCAGGAAGAAACTGCCTGTGTGGCCTCAGGGGCGTGAGAGTGCTCAGCACCCGGGCGGGGGGCAGGAGCAGGTAACACATCAGTCCCGAGTCACCTGGCCGAGAGGCGGTACAGGCCCAGCAGGGGCTTGCAGAGCCTCCACAGTGCCCGAGACAACTGACAACCTGGCTTCAGCCCAAGACAGCACGTGGAGGGCAGCCTGCAGCGGGAGGGGCAGTGAGAGCTGTCAGGGCCCGTCCTCACCTGGCTGGCTGCGTCCCACCTGTCCCTGCACCTCACCAGCTGCAGGACATCCTTCTTGGCCCCCAGGGCCGCCCCGATGGGCCTCCTTGGCCCGCTCCTGCCACACCTCGTCCAGGGGCCTCAGCATCACCTCCAAGTAGGCGTCCTTCAGCGTGGCCAGGGCCCCTGCAACAGGCAGCCGCCACTCACTGTGAGGCCTCCAGGCAGGAAACCCGGCCCAGCCCTGCCCTGCCCTGCCCTGCCCAAGCCTCTAGGGATGGGGCCTGGTTCCAGGAACAGGGCCGTGGGAGAGGGAATAGAAACAGGGCGGCGGGCACCGGAGACGGCGGCGGAGAGTCAGCAGCAGGCCGGTTCCTGTCCTGGGGGCCTGCACCCAAGGGAGGGCCTTGGCTGGTGCCTGGCTCGCGGCAGGCTTCTCACCAGTCCAGGGACGGGGCGGACGGGCTCCCGGCACCTAGCGGTTTCCGCACACACGGTGGCTGTGCTGAGCACCTGCTTTCCCTCCGGAGTCCTGCTACGTGCCAGGCAGCAGCCGCCCGTGTGCCCAGCCCCAACCACCGGGCACTGGGCCTCATGGGCTCCCCGGTGGACAACATGTGACATGTGTTGTCACGACTCAGTGCTGGGGGGAATCAAGTGTCACCTGTGTGACTTCACTGGGAGAGTTCGCTGGCCCCAGGCCTCCACCCTGCGTCTCTTCCCCGGGCTGAGCACCCCCCCATGACCTTTCTCTGCACTAAGTCACAGCCCTGACCCAACTGTGCACGGAGTCCTGTGAGGTCACCTAGCACATCACTGCCCTGGGGACTCTGGCACAGCAGGGACACACGCAGGGGGCTGAAGGGAGACCACCAGTCCAGCACGCATGCGGCTGTCAGAGGGGTGCCCTCCTTGGCGCTGGGCCAGGTCAGTCCCGGGCCCCCCAGATCATGGAGAGGCCAGAGCTTCCCGGCCCTGCTAGGAAGGCGCTCGGAGCAGCAGCTGTTTACGGAACGGGACAGAGCCTGTGACGACCCCACGCCACACCGCGCTCACACGGAACTGGAACCAGCACCAGGCCCCGGAGTCCCAGGGCAGTGGGGCTCGCGGAAACCGGGCGGAGAGCCGAAGACACCTGGGCAGCAGGCCCGAGGGCCACTAGCTTCGAGACCTACGAGAATGGAGAGGGCAGACCGAAAGGAAACAAAGGCCGGGGGTCCGGAAGAAACACGGCGGAGTCTAGACACCGGGGTGCGGGCCCCAGGAGCCGAGGCAGCCCTTCTGCTTGAAACAGCTCGGGGCTCGGGCGAGGGCATAGGGCCTGGGCGGGGGCTGGGTACGGGGTGGTGCCCTCTCCCCCACACTCACTGTCCAGCTCGTCCTGCAGCTGCTCCAGGAGGAGTGACAGGTGCTGGGTCAGCGCCTGACTCCAGCCCCACAGGGTGGCCACCGCCTGGCTGCTCGCCTGCACGGCCCCCAGTCCCGCCTGGGACCGCTGCAGGAGGAGGCCCGCCACGCCACGCTGTCCAGGATGCCTGCCGGCTGGCTGCACCTAGACAGGGAAACCGAGCAGGATCAGTGCGGGCGTCTGGGGAACAGAGCCCTCCAGACCCTCGTGCCCGGGTGGGAGGCCTGGGAGGCAGAGTCCTGGGCCGGTAGGGGGTGGGGAGCCCTCCGTGCAGAGCTCTCCACCCCCTCGTGTCCCCCATCATGGTCTACCCCCCAGGGGCCCAGAACCGGCTCGCACAGGCGTCCACGCCTAG